ACAATGGGGCACACTCTTCTTAATACACAGTGGGTCCCTGTAGAAATATCAGTTAACCCAGAATGCTCTAAGTGTAGTGTAAGGAAACAGAAGGATAAATTCAGTCTCAGCATGTCTTCATCAATAGAAAGGAAATCCCCTCGAAAGATGACTGAGTCCACATGTGTTTGTTCACAATGCTATCCTTAATTAACGTCACATACTGTATGCTTTTTTTGTGGTATGTGTATGTTGGGGGGCAGCCATCAGGATCTACTTCCCCAGTTTAGGACAGGGATTGTAAATGACATTTTACTTTTTGATCAAAAACACCCTGTGGACTCGCCAATTTTGGATGTCAAAGTGCTCTTTGACATCCAGTTCAGATCTGCACTGGGTTTAGCAGACAGAAAAAATAACCTTAAAATATTGAAAATGTGAGCCCTTTGGAAAAAAAGGTGGTAGGAATAAAAGTTACAATTAAAATATTAATGTGATAGTTTATAACGGCAATAATGAACTATTATTTTGACCCCATGGGCTTACCCCAGTCAGTATATCCATCTCGCCAGCAGCCTTATATCCCTGCAACTCACCCCTGACAACCCACTGAAGCTCAGCAGGTGTGAGCCTGGTTACTTCCTGCATGGGAGAACTCCTGGAGAAAATTAAGGTTGCTGCTGGAAGAGATGTTAGTGGGGCCAGTAGGGGGCGCTCACCCTGCAGTCTGTGTGGGTCCTAATGCCCCAGTAAAGTGACGGGGACACTATACTGTAAACAGGCGCCGTCCTTTGGTTGAGACGTAAAACTGAGTTCCTGACTCCCTGTGGTCATTAAAAATCCCAGGGTGTTTCTCGAAAAAAGTAGGGGTATTACTCTGGCATCCTGGCTAAATTTTCCATTGGCCTTTACCAATCATAGCCTCCTAATAATCCCCATCTATGAATTAGCTACATCACTCTGATGAGTGTTCTGGCACACTATGGCTGCTGTTGCATCATCCGGGTGGATGCTGCACATTCGTGGTGATGGAGGAGAGTCCCCATTACCTGTAAAGCGCTTTGAGTACAGTTTCAGAAAATAACTATATACTGTAAGTGTACGGAATTGTTATTATTATTTTATTATTATAATTATATCCAGGGAACAGCTTAGAATTGTTAGGATTTTATGGTCATTCTAGCAGGTGATGATATACTACTTGTACAACTTTGCAAAAAAAGAGCTCAACAGTTGATTTAGCTGATCTAAAAAGACCAAAATACAGAGCTGTGCAGCAATTAATACCACACAATCTTGAAGCATGCGGAATTCAGTATGATTTCACTATCCCTGACTCCGTTCTGTCTCGCGGATCTGAAAACAAGTGAAGGAGCACCAGTGCAGCTAGCCTTCACTGCCCAGTGAGGAAGGTTTTCCGAGAGCACACCAGCTGGTCAGAATGGGTTAGCTATGTCTCTTCATTGTGGGCTGGTGGCATTTTTTCCTGCTATAAATAGGTGCGGTTATCCAATTAATCTAGGGCAACGCTACTCCAAAAGCTGGCGGGGGCAGCAGGAAAAATGAAGAGCGGTCTGTGGTAAAGAGATTGGCTTCTGTCTGTGGTCAGCAAGCATGGTTTCCGTGCGGCAGAGCTGGGGGCAGAATGTCTGCCCACCAAAGTATCTTTTCATCACAGCTACCTTGACAATAAGTGGAAGGCAGTAATTGGTAATCAAGTCCTTGGCTTGCAAAGTAGGGCAAACTGAGTTGACTTTTCACTTGTAGAAGTTCTTTGCTGAGCCCCTTGGAGGAGAATGTAAAATGGCACCTATGCTTGGTGAAGAAAAGACAAAATACAGCATTCAGACTCATTTTTAAAGCAGGACTGAGAACTTCAAAAACACTGTCCATTTCACACGCAGGGTGTCTGGGCCTCACTTGGTAATCTGTAAATTTTTCCTGTAACTTGGCAGATTTCTGGAAATGAATGCGTTTCATTGTTTTTTTCTGTAATTAAAAAAAACAACAAATTAACAAGCTTTTCTGCACCATATTCAGCAACATTTCCATTTTTATTTGGAACATATCAGTAATTTTAAAGCAAGTATTTAGTCAGTAGATTTTAAAATACTTCTACTGATCAGAGGGAATACACCCCATTAGCGTGTTTTGCGGACAGTTGAAAAGTGAAGAACTTTAGAAAAGTATAACTGGATAATGCCTTCTAGAATCCGAAGGACGTATCCTGCTATCCTTTGCCTTTAAACTATATTAGGAATACAATTAGTTTTGTATTTAAAATTTAGCTTTCATAGTTATGATTGGGGAAATATGAGTTGATTAACAAGCAAATATCTTTGAAACTTTTGACATCAGACCAAGATGACGAGAATAAAGAAAAATGAAGTTAGGGATAATTTATCAATCTGTTTTATATTTCTTCTACTATTGTATTTTGCTCATGACACTAAGGAGTGTGAGCAATCACAAATGGTTCATTTGATGCAGTGCATTCAGACCAAGTGAATGCCTTGGTTACACCTTGCATAATTTTTCAATTTTTCTGAACAAATCCATATCTTAAAAATAAGATGTAAAGTAAACCCCAAAAAACAACTAAAAGTGGAACTAATCTGAATCCCTTTTTGTATTCTGTTTCCTGCTGTTTTGCAGAATTGTGTTGGGAGTCCTTTTCCTAGGAAGGCACAGCACATCAGATAAGGATTCCATACATGTGGAATTTATCCCGGTTTAAACTTTATCTATGCCGAAAGGTTTCTTCCTCTGTTTTGAATATGCTCTGATCTGAGCTGCATCCAGCTCATATTGGAAATAAGTGCTTATACAAAAAAATATTCAAACATGAGTAACTTTGAAAAATACACACTGATCAGAAATGGAAAAAAATAATTATTTTTTTACTTTTTAATTTCCTCTTGTAAACATTAGTCATCACAATTTCAAGCTATTTCTGTAAATTGTTGAGTGGCGACAGCATTTCAATTTCATCTGGAATGTTTCCTCAGCCCCTGTGTTCAGGAGAAATTCAAAAATGATTTTTCGTACCTATTAATATACCTGCCTATAAGGGTTATGGTATTTCGTAAACAATGGTTTTCGGTTTCTGTATGTTTCAGATTCTCAAGTCTCAAGATTTGTTATTTTGTGGTTGTACCTACCCACACCAAAAGAGGACAATGATATTGGGTCAGAGTAGCCAAAACAGGCAGTGCTTTTGAGTAAAGGACAAGACATGTCCATGCTATGTTTGGCGGGTGATATAAAATCTGAATTAGAGGCTTGTGCCACACCAGATCAAAGCGCAAAGTCTAAAAGTAGGTTTTAGAGCTGACAAATTGGGTAATATCTACCCCAAGCACATATATCAGAAGCTTTTAATTATATACAGTATAGGAGGATTTTTTGAGGGTTCAGCCATTATACTGTCAATGAATGGAAGCCTAGCATCAGTTATCGTGTGCAGAACAATGCATTTTTGTGAATGGAAAAGCTTTGCAGTGTTTCATTGAAACGCAAGCTATTGGTACTGCACTGACTTTTTTTTACATAATGTATCTCATTTAGCGTCATCTATTTTTTTCCACTTTCTACTTCCTTTGTGGGTTTGTTATTTGGAGACGATCACCTGTAGGATCATGCCAGTGCAAGAACAAAAAACTAATCATACAAAAATATTGGATTATAGCGTAAATTAATCCATTCCTGGAAGTTGACAATTAGGAAGAGATTTGCTGATGTAAAAACATGTCAAGCAGATACAATTACATGCATAAGCCTTTTTTTTTCCTTTTTAACTTGCGTGATCTTACAAAGCTATTCTTTGAACATAAAAAAAAGTTTACATAGCAGAATGTAATGCCTCAACAAAGAAACAGACTGACAAAGTGAGAGCAGTGTGTGAGGCACATAGTTTCTTTTTCACTTGTTGACTATGTTCTGTGATTGTTTATCTCATAATAACAAGGCAAGCTGTTTGCATTTGATGTTAGACTGAAAACGTGATGTACAGTATGTAATGAATTCTTCCAAAAATTTGCCATATTTGTATTGTGCAAAGGACGTCAATTTTACCAGGAATGATGGCCACCTGAAAGACACTTGTAACTGTAAATACGAGATGTCTACAACTAGAACTTCACTGCAAGTTTTTAAAGGTGGTCTTTGAATGAGGAAGAAGGAACAACTGGTATTCTTATGAACTAATACACAAAATACATTTAAATTTTATTGCTGGAGTTTTGTTTAGTACCTAATAATGAAGACAATTATTTATAATTGACGCATTAGAAAAGAACAAGTGTAGAATGGTGACTTTATAATTAGTACACTGTAGATTTATAATTCAGTAAATTTGAGACATCATTGGAAGGTAGTAAAATGCTTTTTGCAGGACAGTGTATTTCTCTGTAATGGGGAGCCACAAACAATTTAACATTTTTTTTTGACTGTCAGTAGCACCTAGCAAGTTAAACTGGGATCTGTAATGTTATCGTTTTGATTTTATCTAACAAGTGGGAGATTTGTCAAACCTAACAACAGCACTTTCATTGTGGTCTACAGTTCCATGGGTTGAAATACAGCCGTTATGTGACTCAGAAATATGATAAAGTCATCCGAAACAATGCAGTATTTGCAAGATGGTTTTTGATTTTACATTCCCAATGAAACGGAGTGCGTTGAACTATAGTCTTACAGATCCTCTCAGAAATGCTATGGCATGTTCTCTGATGTCCAGTTTTCCCATATTGGGAGGAAAAAATAAAATAATAACCACATCACAAGTATGACTCTCTTACATTAATTTGTTTTTCAGCCCATTAGAATTCTCAGCAAATCTCCTCTTGACAAGCATTTCCTATGTGCATCAGAGAACCCATTTAATGTGTTGTAGGAGGAGGTTGCAGAACATTGGAGCTCTACCATCCATATTACACAATGTTTTCATGCTGCACAGAGCTGTTCGTGGAGAAGGAGTCAGCTGTCTAAGCCCTGTGTCTGTGTGCATTCCTGCTTTGCAGTCAGATTCCACTGCTACAATCACCTGCGCAGATGGCAAGTGGAACAAGCAAGTGAGCTGTGAGCCAGTGGACTGTGGCAAGCCAGACAAATACCATGTTCACCCAGCCATCTTTCACTTCCCTGACGGGACTACATATGGCAAGAAATGCACATTCCAGTGTAAGGAGCCAGCTCAGCTAGTAGGTAAGAAAATAACTACTCAACGGAAGCGTGCTGTATGTTATAATACTTTATCAAGCTGTTTCTTAGGGGTGACAAAATGCAATAAAATGCTGTCCTGAATTTTTAGCAATTGTTTCATTTATATGAAGTTTTTAGAATATTGTTAACTATACTCACAACACAGCGTGGAAACATAAATGCTGTTGAATAGTTATGATGTTTGATGTTTACTTATCGTATACCATGGTTAATGTGAGCCTACTCATATTTGTAAATAAGTGCATATTACCACTTTCCAAATGTCATTATCAACTACCAGTATTAATTCAGAAAGTCAAAATGTAAAGGGTAATGTATGTGTCTCACAATGAGACACAAACAAGAAACACATTAACTTAAAGGACTCTAAACAGTGAAAACCCAGCCACCTCTGGCACGCATAGGGTGGTTTATACTGTACAGATCCTGACTTATAATTCAAGAAGCTAAGCAAGGCTTCTGACCAGTACTAGAATGGGTGTCTGAATGTCAAAAGAAAAAAAGTTGCTACTTGTACAGGTGTGGCACTTTTCTCACCTGAGGATTACAAACTCCTCTCCCATTGTGCAGAGTGCACGGTACAGTGTCTGTAGGCAGTGCCATCCTTCAGATGAGCCATTAAACTGTGGTCCCGATATTTTGATTGTTAAAGATCCCATGGCACTGTTTGTAAACGTAGAAATTCGAACCATAGTGTCCTGGCTAAATTCCAAAACGTTACAGTGTCGCCTCTTTAAAGTTCCCTCTTAAATGGCTAGTTCCCACTTCTTTACCTGATCTGCTGGTGAACAATGTTAGCAGCGTCTCACCCAAGTGGGTACTGCGCTTCAGTGATTGATGAAGTGGATCCCCTCCTACATGGGCTATAAAATGCCTATAAAGTGCTTTGGGACACTTTGGAATGAAGAGCTCTTAAGAGATGCAATTATTACTATTGAATGTAGTTATTGTGCTTTGTTAATGAGGACCATGTGTGAGCGGGCCAACTCTGTGGTTTTATTGCTTTTTTTTTTTTTTTCAGGGATGAATAACACTTTGACCTGCATGGAGGATGGTCTGTGGTCTTTCCCCGAAGCCCTGTGTGAGCTGCGCTGTCCAGCTCCTCCACCAGTGCCCAACGCTGTCCTGCAGACCAAGCGCTGCAATGCCACTGGACTGAAGGTTGGCTCGTTTTGCAAGTACAAGTGCAAGCCTGGCTACCACGTCCCCAACACTGACAAACCCAAAAGGTAAAGACCATGTTTGCTGCTGCCTACGGTTCAGAAAAGTGACATTTGCTGTAAAAGAGTAGTAATCCGTGTTTTTTTTTTCCAGTAATTTTGCTTCTCAAGCTTTGACAGTAGATCCTGATCACCCTTGACAGTTGTCACAGTGAACCCTGTCCTAATACTCATGGTCACTTGAAATCAAGTGAACCAGACAAATCTGTTGCACACAAAGTATTATTTAGTTTAGATTTCAAGAGAGTCTCTCGTAAAGTCTGAGGAAGATCATTCCACAACACTGTAACAGCAACAGAGAAGGTATGGTCACAAAAAGTCCATGATATAGTCCTGGGGACAATGAGAAGAGGACCAGTCTCAACTGAACAGAGCCTATGGAGGGGGAGTGTAAACATGGAAGAGTTCAAAACTGTATTGTTTCAGAGCCTTGAAAGTCAGTAACAAGATCTTGTATTGAATATGTGATTTCACGGGCAACCAATGTAGAGACTCAAGTGTACTGTAGGAGTGATATGCTGCCAGGCTCTGGCGTGGGTAAGTAGTCCAGCTGCAGAGTTTTGAACATATTGCAACCTGTTGAGAAGAGAGTTAATGATCAGATGTATACATGGAATTATCCAGAAGTAAAATACCAAAGTAAAAGTTTACTATGAAGTCTCATTCACATTCATCTCGTGATCTCATAAATAGAAACTGCTTGACTGAAACTTTTTTGTTTGGCTGTCCTAATATTTTTAGGAAGGATTGAGTGTACATGCAGTACATAAAGTATATATAATACAATAGATGTTCATTAAAGTAAAAATATTGCTGACATATTTGTACATGTATATAACCCCACATTCAAACATCCAATCCACCCTTAATGTTTTCTACTCTCCTCATTACATATTCAGTCATGTTTTTCTTTCCATTTGCTTCCTATAGATTTCTATTATTCGAAAACTTCTATTTAACATTCGTTGTGTGCAGAACTGTTTTCCCTAAGGGTTGTGCTGAGAATTGCCCTTCTTGTGATGACTTTTTAAAATGCAAATGCAAGACAGTAATGTGCTTTCTGCCATTATCAAAACCACTTAACAAGGAAATATCAATGAACTCGCGCTCAAATGTTTTGCCTACCATTGTCACTAGTGTTGCTAGCAAGTTCCAGGATTTGTCTTGTCAAGTTGTTGGCTTTGTCTTGTTGCTGTTCAATCCATATCCACCCTTCTACAACCCATCCCCCAGAAATAATACACAGTAGGAAAAATCAGCTTGCTGTACAATAAAAATGAACATTTCATAAGCTTCACTGTGAAGTTTCATATTCTATGATTAAACATTTTCACAGGCACTTGGCAGTGGTTCCCCTGAAGGTCTGTGTAAACTGATACTAGCTAAAACAATTGCAGAATATGTCATTTTCTAATTTAGTGTTTATTTCCAGCTGATTAATAAGTTGTGACTTTTTTTTTCAATCAAGTCCCTTCTCAAGAGATGGAAAAACAGATTGGTTTCATTCTTTTCAACCAGACAAAGTTATAAGGGTAGGGCACCAGTCTCCTGCTGTTAGGGATCCAAAAAGAGTGAAATCCAATTGTGTAAGTGTTTAATAAAGGCCTAAACCACTGCCACGTTTCCTAAGAATTAAAAGAGAAGAAATAAAACTCCTTTCTGTAGCTTGTAAAGAATGATCATATGTCTGCTGCTGAACTGGTGCAATGCCGGGCTTACCACAGACTATAGCACAAGCTGTCGTCACATCATCAATTCTCACCAGAACAATGAGGGTCAACAGGAGCGAGTCAAAGGAGTGCCCCCCTAAATGGAAAAGGAAGGAAAAATCTCTTACAGCCAAAACTCTAAGCATTCAGTTACACTGTTAACGAGTCTGTCATCTTGCATTACTTCTGTATTTGCCAATATTAACCATTACCCAAAAGTTCTGCCAGTTGTTTCTTGGGTAATGCTTTAGAATAACTGACACTACCTCCAAAGCAGCACTCTTTTTAATAAATTGTCCTCTGTCAAGGTAAGAGCTCTTAATCCAAGTAACACCTGTAGTAGAGATGTTATCACATCAAAGGTGTGAAGAACAGAAATCTAACATCAGTTTTTAGGGAAACTAAGAGTTTCCTAGACAATGGAATTCACCTCTTCCTGTAAATTCCACAGTTACTTTCATCTTTTGAGATTGTCACCCTTTGACGAAACATGACTCTTTCAGTTATTTGATGTAGTGCCTATGCCTGTATTATTACTCTTTGAAGACTTGTATTCAATTCAGGGGCATGAAAGCAGGTTTTGATTTCATACCAGAGTCACCCAGTAGCATGTTGCAATATGCGCAGGTGAGGGCAGGGATGAAAACCATCACCAATTTCCTTGTAGAAGGGTTCTGTACAAATGAAATAAAGTAGACTCTGGCCTTCCTCACAAACCAGTTTGCCATGGCATGACATAGGACAACACTCTGAGGTAGTGAAGCAAAAGTTGTATCTGTAAAAAGACAATAGTCAGGGTCTTCGAGTCAGGGAACCGGACTTCTAAGATTATTCAGAAAAGGGATTGTGTCTATTGTAATCAAAGTTCAGGCTGCAGAATCCTCTGTGGTGCGATTCATTCTTGTCACAAAATATCTGAGGCTCTTACAGTCTATGTACTATATGGAAAAAGAACAGGACTTGAATATAGTAAAATTCAGTGGTGATGAAGTCTTTGCGGTAAGCCTTTGCTAGGTAAAGTCCCCACTCAGTAACACTGCCTTATAGTTACTCAAGCAGACAATGTGTTATTTGCATCCTGTGAAAAGCATTGGGTCAGGGAAGCCTTATAAAGTGTTTGGGAAGGTCAGAACACTGCTAGAAAAACATTTTCTTGCTTCCATGACCTGAGATCATTTCAACAGAAATGACTTGCGATAATAAATTACACAGAAAGTGAAACAAAACACTAAATGCACGTCAGACTTTCTGTACTTCACTTGAGTTCTGAAGATGTGTAGAAGTTTATGTGTAGGGTATGAAATATATCAGGCATGTAATGATAACCTGCAAAGCAGGAACAGCTCCCCAGATTTCTTTCATATACTCAAAATGAACTTTTCCAAAGATTTTCTTATTCTGTGAGCACATATAGGATTGATATTGAATTCAGGGGCATTTTTTCACCTGATAATTATTAAGAGTAAATATCACCCCACTATAATAGAACCCACATGCTGCCTGAAGGATATTTGTGGTGTGTTTGTACTTAGCAAGTTTGTGATTTGAGTCTTTGGAGATTGGTAAATCAGTGCTGTTGCAGGACTTTTTTTTTTAGAATGGTAGACCACAAGCTTCTAGTCTATGATCCTTTGATTAAAGTGTTGAGGTGTCACCATAAATCTTTGCTGAAGGTCTGTTTACTGGAAAAGACTTCACTATCCCTATTAAAACAAAAAAGTCATTAAAACTGATAAGTACTGTTCTGTCTTTTGGCAGCTGGAATTGTCAAGTAAAATGCACTCTTGATTAATTAATTGCTTGCATTTTTGCATTAATCCCAAAGGACATCAAAGCACTTTACACATAGGAAGGTCCCCATTTCATCTTCTACTAGCATGCAATATGTACCTGAGCAACACATAGCAGTCATTCTGCATCAGCAACCATATCAGCCACCCTATCAAGTGGAAAATTGAGAAAGTACTTCATTAATTGAATTAAGAGGGAAATTGAGGAAAAACAGAATGTATAAACTGGGGATTTAACAACACTCCTATTCTTACAAATAGCGCCATGGAACCTTTAATGTTCAGGTAGTCAGCTGAATGTCTCATCTGAAGGAAAGCATCTCCTACATATCCATGTGGTCCAATTGTTTTAAGTTTTCTAGTCCAAAGAGAAAGGCGAGGGTCACCTCCAGGTTCACCAACATGCCTGAAATCTGAGCTGCCTTTTTTGTTTCTTAGGAGGGCATTTAAGAGGCAGTGTACAGAGGACGGGAGCTGGCAGGAAGGTTCCTGTGAGCCAGTGACGTGCGAGCCCCCTCCTCCCATATTCCACGGTGTCTATCAGTGTACAAATGGGTTCAAGTTCAACAGTGACTGCTGGATCAACTGCAATGGAGCCAACCATACTGTAAGTCAGCACCCTCAGCATTGCAGACGTCCAGAGCTTTTGTGATTGTTACATTATTTAGCTTTTCTTTGCCAGCTTTCAGTTAAATCACAGCTTTATATACAGTATTATCCCATTTATTTTAGAACATAGAGGAAAAAGGGTATAAAGAACACATGACCTAAGACCTATGTAATATTTATATGTGTACCTCTATAGATTTCATTTTCATTCTGCATTTGGGAAATTTACAATAATACAAGTCCATTGCCCACAATAATCCAGTGCCTGTGTCCGACAGCTTCACCTATAGTTCCCACATACCACGCATCTGTCAAACAAGCAGATTCGTCAATCCCATCACAAGATTTTCTCCTACCTGCTTTACCTCACAGCTGGAAGCTCTTTAGCCTGCTGAAAAAGAGAAGTGGCATGCCAAACATGCTGCCAACAGCGTTTCTTTGGTGGAAAAGGAAGATGTCATTTTAATTTGATTGTAAAAAAAAAACCTGCTATAATCAAGCAACCAGCAGTAATTCTGCAAACCTGCCGAGATGACAGCTGAGAGTTATACTGAAACTCAGTGCTGCCCTTTCATAGCTTTCTATCATAGCTTTGTTTTTAATGGTAACAGAAACTAACCCAAAGCATCTGTTACTGTTTAACTCTGAGGTTAAAAAAATCATTCTGTGACCGAAAAGGGCACAAGATAGAAAAGACCTCATTTTTTGTTTCCTCTTGTGACACGGACCACCATCTGAATACTTAGATGTGTCCATTTACAAGCAGACAGGCACTTAAATTCAGCTCACAGTTTCAAATCATAAAACACACTTCTTTTTAACAAATGATTTACAAAGGCATGAATGTTCCAAATTAGTCTCTTAATTTCTCATCTCTGTTTTCCCCCAACACAGACCACTTTAGTTCATCGACTGGATTTTTTTGCAGCTGTAAGGAATAGTAATCCTTGCAATGCAACAAGTGTTTCGGCTGTTTGGCCACAAATGATCATTGTATGACTAATGTGGTTTGGTGTGGAAACAAGTGTCTAAGGATTAAACAAGCAGTGTGGATTGAATTTCCCTCTGTATTCAGCATTTTGATTAAAAAGCTCAATAAATTTTCAATTAAGGCTAGTGCGTCTTAGCCTTTGTTTTTGACTGATTTGTCAGTAGTTCATGTTTTACCCTGCAGGGGTTTTTATATAGTAAGTCACCTGTAATCATGTTTTTTTAAACATTAGGAACACGTAAATGATCAATTAAGCAAGTAATTAAGGAAGCTGGATGTGGAGGTCTGAATGATCTTCTGAGTTTTGTCCTAACAACATTGTTCTCTGCATTTCTTAATTAAAAAAACATATCTGTTTAACTGATCAAAATTAATTAAATTGTTCTAGACCTTGGAAATGAATGAATGAATGGCTCCATATAAAACTTACTGAACAATTACAGTTAAGTATAATATAATGATTTTGCATTATACATGGTTTTTATGCAAAAAGAAAATTCCTTCTTATGTGAACATAACAAGGTTTTCTAACATTAGTAGCACTTTCCTGTGTCTAATTAGGAATCTGTTTCCTTTGGGAAATTTTGTTACTGAAAATGGATTCATGGATCATCAGATCGTCTTACAGTGTATTAAAACAAATATAACAATCTGCAGTAGTACAGTATGTTGTACTATGAGTGTTCCTGGCAGACAGTCAATGCACCCATGACATCATAAGCTTAATGGCTGAAGTCCCCAGCACTTGAGCAATTAAGAGGGACCCTTGGCTGTAGCCTCTGATTAATAGAGATTTTCCTGCATTAGGACACCAGAGCAAATTAACTTTCTAAATAAAATTAAATATTGCATAGCTTTGAAGTGGCTGCTGTCAAGCACCTAAATTATACGTACCAGGCTGACCCAATTAAAACTGTGCTTAATTGGGCCTCCATTTTTTAATCGATTAAAACGTTTTCAGGGGTGGCATTTCATCATTTGGTGTTGCCAACCGCAGTGACCAAATGTGTGGATGTGATCTTCCATGAATCTTCAGCAGTCATTTCCAAAGGAGAGTATTGGTGTAATGTAGATAAATCGAAAGACTTTTATATGGTCAGTTAGAACTCATAATAGCACAAAAAGGGAAGAAGGAGACTGTATCACAGTTTGCTTTGCACAGTAATTGTGTAATAATGTGTCTCTTTGGGAATTAATTTAGGGGCCACCTACCAGTGTGATCCGCTGCAGGAAAGATGGCAATTGGACGGGCTCGTTCCGTGTCTGCCCACAAGTGAAGGGACAGTGTGCATTACCCCAGAATCTCAGCCCCAGCATCAGAGCTAGCTGCAAGAAAGGATACAGTATAGGTGGGTATGGAGAGTTCTTTTACTTGTATATTTTAGCTCAAGGTATGAGTACAGAACATTTTTACTTGGAAGGCCAAGAGTCTGTTTTGCTCATCTCATCTCAGTTAAGGTAGTTCCAAGGGGAAGGTCACCTACAGCGTTGTTGTCTTGCCCTGCTCTTCATTTGTTCGTGGGAAATTCATTCCTCAGAACAGTTTAGGTGCAGGAACGAGCTCACCTCCCCAAGCACTGATCCCACCTGACCTGCATAGATCTTTGAGAAAGGGTAATGACAGGAAAACGGGTGTGGCTGCCCACACTAATGCATGAGATCTCATGAGATGGGCTGTTTTGATAGCATTGCTGCAGGTGGGTCTGTGCTTACTTGGAAGATCTTATCAACAATCATGTGTTTTAACTAAGGGTGTTGATTTGAAATGCAAAGCTTTCCTCCAGTGGGAATTTAAGGTAGTGCAACTTTGGTCCTGACTGAGAAAAGTCTGCAACCTGCTCAGAAATGCATGACATGACCTACAGGTTATAGGTACAGTATAATCTGTCTCCTGTACAGCATAATGTAAGTGTTGTTTAATGACTAAAGATAAAGAGGTCTAGGTGAGAATGGAATGTAGATATTCTTGAATAAAATCATTGAATAATAACAAAATGGAAGGCAGGACCTGAGGAGGTTAAACAGTTTTCACATTTTCAAACATTTTAATGGACAGGGTAAGTAGTGGAGTAATTAAGTATACTACAGTACCACAGCTTGACGGTAAGTTGGCCTTTTCCACAAACACGACTATAAGAAACGATACGAGTTAAAACTGGTCATTGAGTATGTAGTTGATTGGTTTGCTACCAATGTAATGGTCAAAGCATCTCCTTTGTTGAAGGGTCTCAGGCAATCTATTTCAGCAAATATGACTGACTATTATATATACCATAACCAGCCGTGCGAATTCACTTGTCAGATGTACTGTAATTGGGAATTGTAATGAACTAAAAAAGAAAACTTTTTATCTCTGATTAGAGCAGAATTGATCACTACTCAATTCTCAGATGTGTTTATTTGTAGTTCCATTGCAGGCTTTTCTACCCACCTTGAAATTTGCGGTATTTTTTCCCTTATCACTCAGGGGCAGAGTGCGAGTTGTCCTGCAAAGACAGGAACAGCAATGTAATCATCTTGCCACGCAATATGACAGCGGACACAGTGGAACACTGGAGGAACCCGTCTAAAGTCAAGGTGCGTTAGTGTCCTTTGGATTATTCATTTGATTTTTAAAGGCACTACGAAATGAGAAAGAATATAAAAACGACCCATTCCATTTTATCAATCTGACACTAGTAGTTCTGCAAAGCAGAAGAAAATATGTTATCCAGCAAAAACTGCTATTTAAATGTAAGGATTTTCAGAATGTAAATGAAAGTATGGCATGCTAATATGCTTCCATGTTAATAGCAATTTCAACAGCAATAGTAGAGAACTGCTACTTAAATTTCATTGTATTAAGTGACTTTGGTGTGATGTTCCAAATGAATCATATTTAATTTTGACACCATCAATACATTTTACCTACGAAGGGTATTTTGCTTTCCTTCTGGGATAATACTTTTTGGAATTTTCTGCAAATACCAAATTTTGTAACGTTTTAAAAATCCTTTTTGCCTAGCCAGTTTGAGCACCCAGAGCTAATGCAAACAAATCATAAATAGAACGTTTTGTTGGTCTCCACCAAATTCTCTACTATTGTTGACAACCTCTACATTGAACCAATTAAAAGCATGGTGGAATTGTGTGCATCTCCACATAAATGTGGCCAACAAAAAATATTTTAGATGGAATCTAAATCTATTTGGTATACTCCTTCAGCAATACACAATTGCCCAATTTTTGCCCAATTGCCTCTGGTCAGAAATGAAAATGAACCACCCTTTCCTAGAGTTGAAACACCACCAGCCTGTGGTAGCTGCACATTTGGCACCTGCACTGAATGTGTATAGGATTGGCCCTGGTATAGATTAAAAAAAAATGTAAAAGCTGAAAAATACCACAATAAGAGTCCACAAGAAAAAGTGTACATGCATCCTGTTGATATATTATAATACTATATGTCTAACAGGAGTAATTGAAGACATGCATAGTTCCTCATAGTTCCTTCAGTCCTGAGCTCTTCAGACTCTTGAAAAAGCTGTGAGGAGGTGTGTCTGTGGAGCTCCAGCCAAGCGGGTAGAGCAGACATTCATTAGCATCGAAGTCAATTAATTCATCACTGCTACCAGTCTTCAGAATTACAAAATTGTTTTTGGCCTGAGCTGACTGGTACCCATTCTTTCACTGATGATGAATTTGTGCTGTAGCCTTTGGAGTTAAACATTCTGTATCTTAATTCAAATAACAAATTTATTGAAGTGCACCTACAATGATGAGTCATTTATAGGCTAGGAGAAAAAAATAAATTACTTCACTGTAACCAACTCTTCTTTACTTTTGTGCAGAAAACATTACATAAACCTGATTGATTACATACAGTATACAACTTCCAATTTCATTTAAGAAAGACATGCCACTCAATTATGTGTGCTCCATGAACAAGAAAGAAAAGACTTGGGTATCAGAAATGCATTTGACCTTGTTATGACTGTATGTATATTATACATATATATATATTATTTATTAAGTAATTTTGATCAAAAAATGAAAAAATGATCAATAGTAAGCTGAGAAGTTAAAATGGTCCAGCAGTTTTAGCCGAGCTGAAATCAATAGTGCTTCAGTGTCTCCAGCTTCTAGCATTTTGCCAACTGGTGTCAATCGATGGATCTGTTTGGACAAATATTAGAACTACAATCCCACAGCACCAGTTTCTTACAGGTTAACGTAACCCCCTGTGCCACCCACCATACGCATCTTGTACTCCGACGAGAGCTCAGCACTGTAAGAGACCCATGCAGTGTGATTTAATTATGACGCAGTTTAAAAATAATTGAAAAGAGACAAACATGGCACCACATTTATCTGGGGTTACATTTTACTTTGTAATGTAAATTCCCAGTAACATCATATAAGTGTCTACAAAAACGTTCAAAACAAGACTAAAAAATGTTGTTTTAAATGTGGTCTACGGTAATAAATATACACCTACTTCTGAATGACTATTATATTTTCCCTTTGAAATGGAGCTGCACCTCACTTCATCCACTCCTAGTTGATTACAGGCGTTGCCCTATTGCTGACAGCATTGGACCACAACCCAGTTCCCAGCAATCGAAGCCATGCTGTGGCAATTGTTACTCACTGGTTTTATTGTTAAAATACAATCAGGACCTGGAATTACGATTACGAACTCGGATTTCTGTGAAGTGGGCTTTTATTATCAGCAGTGGAAAAAGTCTATAATCCTCATTTACGGACCCTGGCAGCTTCTGAATTCGAACCGTTATTGTTTTCTCACACAGCAGATGAGGGCTGAGTCACGGGGCAACTCCTTTTCAAGGATACGCTTAATAAGACACACTTATATGGCTCTGAATTTGTTTTAAGCTTACCTCACACCCCTCCCTTTGTACTGCAAAAGTCCATGTTTGTTGCATTAGATAGGTTCCTGTTTGCGTATGTATTGCTGGCAGTAGCTACCACAGACACCACTGCAATATGATTCAGACTTATGATATCTGGGGAAAGTAAAGGATGAGCAATTATCCTGAATTTGTTTCCTGTATTCTCAGTCTCGGAGAAGTTTTGTCTTAACCGATTGACAAAATCCAAAGAGATAGGCCAGATCAGAAACAGCAACTGATATAATTTACTTTTTAAATGTACTATTATCAACAGTGCTAGAGTATGGGACTGTAAATTATTTAGACAAGGTCAGAGTTCAAATGTCATGTTTTTTTTTCCTCCGCCTCTCCCACACTTTGAATGCATGTCAGAAGCAGAGGTGGCAATTCATTACATTTGTAACGTGCATTTCTCTCTTGTCGCTGTGGGTGCTAACTGAATTTAAATTATTACTTTGTTTGACTTTTACCACAAGTCCTTTGTGTCGGCCTCAAATAATTTCTCAGGTAATCGTTTTCTAACTTTTTGCTGACTGAACTGTATCAAGAAATACCTCCGTTTGCAAAATTGAGCACTTTGGCAGTATTTGGACACCTGAGACACGGAATGTTTGCAGAGGTCAGGCAGGCCCAGTCTAATGAGGATATTTTATCCCTTAGCATGTTATTTCAGTTGACGGCACAGCCAGTGCAAGGAGAGCCTGGCTCATTGCATGTAGTGAATCACTCTGAGGACAAATGTGTCTTTTACCAGCGCATGCTAATTAAGACATACTGTATCTATGAGCTGCATAAGTAAGTGTGCTTCATTCAGCTACAATCTAAAGTACTGTCATGTTGCAGATGTTTGAAAAGAGCATAAACCCCAGTTTAAATTAAGTGTATGATTAGCCATGATCAGAAGTGGCATTATCAAAAGGATGTGGCTCGGAAATTTTTGATAACGCAAACGAATGATGAACCTACCTTTGTTAAATTCGGTAAGCCAATGATGCGTTAAAGGGCGATCTTGATAAAATTAGCTTTCAAATCTAAAGTCTTATAGCAGACACTGATATATAATTTGGGGAGTATTTGCTTCATTCTTTACTTTTTATTGGATATTATTTATTAGATCCTGGCCATTTTGTGGTGCAGTCCCAGATTTGTTAACAATGAGAAATCTGAACTGAATTGAGGTGGTAATGGAGTGACTGTTAACAAGTATTAGTTGAAATATGGAGGAAGGTTCTTGAGGTGCAGTGTGAGCTCTTTAGGCTTTAGTGCTTAAGGTTCTGTGCTCCAGATAGAAGGGTAATGTATTTAAATGCTCTTAAGATATAGCTGTTTTGTCTTTGTGCGCAGTTCTTTTGTCAAATGACTCTAGTGCGTGTTCTAATATGTAAATGGCCATCCACATAATCACTGTAAATTATAATTGCTCCTCAAGTTATAATATTGAGTTATGTATTGATTGTGTTACATTTTGCTGCTCTGGTTAGCTTTTGATTAAATTGAAAGTGGATTTTTTTGTATTCAGTTTTGGAATCACCAGACCCTAGCATAGCTTTCAGAAAGAACTTTTAATAAATTTTATTTTATTAAAGCGATTTTCTTAAATTAATTGCTAAAGAAATATTTTAGGCATTATCGCAAACCATATGAGGAACGTATCCATGATTTGCCTCTCAACGGTAGTATATAGAAATAAGAGCGTTAGTCAGGGTAGTTATATTGTCAGAAGTCATCATAATTTGATTCCCAGGAAGGTGTTTGCAGACATATCCAGGCAGTTATGGCTGTCGTTGTTAAGAACATTTTCACCGTATCCCTGACCCTAATACACACATACACACACCTCTCCCTGTGTGCTTTCACACACACAACAGAGGTGCAGGTGGGGTAGCCTGGGCCTGACTAAGGGTGGAAAATCTGAAACTGTCGGAAAGAAAAACAGTCTGATACAGATAGTATAAAAGTCTTTTTAATAAATGTCAGGTAAACCTCAAAAAGCACTGAACTTTACAGGAACTATAAAAACAAGCTGGGGCTCCCCACCAGACGGTTTAAATTAGCCCTCATGTAAACATGGGGCAGGCAGCGGTGCGACACTGAACACTAATTGTGTATGGATGTCCTGAGCAGGGGGCTCGGCAGCTCTCTTCCACGACTCGACAGCCAAGACGTAAGAAGTTCTTGGAAATATAGTGTTTAAGCTTTTCATTTCATGGCCTTATGGATTTCTGATCCCCATCATCATAGTCTCTCTGAAAAGTCTACCTGTGTACCAGGGCACATTGAGAGAGGTGTAGTGCCTTCTCTCTGGGACCGTAAAAGGTTGTAGCATTTAATACGAGACCTATTTCGGACTTCCGAAGAATACTTTTTTAACCTTAAAAAAGATAGTGTAGGCTGCACGTCACTTTGAAAAATACATCCCAAAACAGTTACTTCACTAGATATCAATGTGTTGTACTACAGGAACCAGCAGCTAACCGCATGTTTTTCAAACCTATTTCCACTGGGGCAAAATTTGCTCTGCTTTGTACAGTATCTCCAGCCAATTCTCAAAAAATGTGTGCAAGAAAAAAAAAAGTCTGTTTCATACTAGTGTTGTCCACGTTAGAAAGGACACCTTTAAACTTTCCAGCAGCTGGAGAGCAAACACAAGCGTTGAAGACTACCATATAAATATTTTTGAGGAGGATAGGCACATAGATTGTTCACAGGTTTCGTTTTGAACTACTGCCAGAGTTTTGTGGCAGTAAAAACAATGAAGTACTATCATTAGCACTGTTACAGCAGGAGACCCAAGCTGTCCAATATGTTAATATCACATAGGAGTGAATGTACTGAGCTACAAAATATAGAAAAATAAGAATCATCTGTATAAGAATTTCCGCATGGAATTTCGAGAAATCAGCACAGTACACAATGTGTAGGTTCACTCTGGCTACGGGTTTGTGGTTTTTCAGAAGTAAAATCAAAAGTATCTTCTGATTGGTTCGCTCTGTGCCAGGGGGTCTTTCTTCCAAAACTTCTGAATGAATGGCTCACCGAGAGATGTAGAACAGGTTTGTGCTCCATCGCTCTAACATGATTTCCAAACATCCGGAACTGTGAAAGTCCTGAACAGTTACGCGACCTGTTACCTGCGCGTCCCAGCAGTAATGGTCGTGTCCTGCTGATTTCACTCGCTGGCCTGGACTCCCTCACGCCAGCTGTACAGCCACATCACCAGGAAGAGAGGCAGCATGTGTGAGATGGAGCTAAACAAAAACATGCCCAGTGCCCTCCAGCCTTCTCACAAGTGGCTCTGATGAAATCTTTAAAAAAAAAAAAAATCTAATTGAGACTTTGGACTGGCCTCTTTTTTTTGTTGTTGTTGAAGCCCTCACCACCCCACAAAGCTTTTTAGTCACGCAATGTGTTGAATTAAAAAGATACATGAAAAATACCACTTCCCATCTAAAGAATGCAAAGTCAAAGGTGAAGTTGAAGGTATGTATTTGTACAAGGAGATTATCACAAAGCTGAAGTTATGTAGAGTACAGGTTTTGATTTTTTTTTCGATCATATGAAGGCACAACAATGCTTTGGCACAGGAATAAAGAGACAAAGCCAGTGAAAGTTTATAATGTTTTGTGAACATTCCTTTCATCCTGTGTTTGCTGTGACTCCCCTTCCAGAGGATGGCCCGTGTGACTTTGTTTATATCTTTGTGGGCTCAACTAGAAATAACATGATAGGGCACACAGAGAGAGGAAAAAATGAAATATTTTCCTTGCGGATTCTTCTTGGATTACCTTTAACACTTGGGACAGGATCCCAACTTCACAGGAGACCTTTGTTTGTAATATTTGTTGTATGCGTGTGGGTTTTTCGGGGGATTTTTAATGTTCTGATTTTTTTTTTTTTGTTCTCCTCTCCTACCAGAGTATTGTCTGCACAATGGGACTGAAGTGGTATCCACACCCTGAGGCACTTCATTGTATCAAAGGCTGTGAGGTAAGGCTGGCCTGCTGTGGCATTAACTTTATATGAGATCAAAATGCCTCCTGCTTTAAGAGAGGGGAAAAAAGGAATCCAGTGTTAGTGATTTCAATTTTTTTTGAGTGACACTGTTAAAAATGTACAAGGAGGCAGTGAAGTCTGACTTCTGGAATTTAAGCTGGTTTTAGATGGTGTATTCCCTTCAGTGTTTACTTACTGAGAGGCCTAGTTCGGTCAGGATCTCTGCAGGTAGTATAGAGTACAACAGGTAGGCTGACACCAAACGGGCACAAGTCGCTTTGCGGCAAAACAGATCGCATCCCAAGACTCAAAAGGCAGAGCAGGGAGGATTTTAAAGTGCACAGCAGCTACAGTGAAAATAAGGAGGAATGTTTTTTTTTTCTTAAAAAAACTGTGGGAGTAGGGCTGTGCCATGTTGCTGAAGCTGATACTCTGGTTTATTTTAAGAAATGGCTGGATGAGTTCCTTGTACCAGTTGGAACCTAATGGCCTCATCTCATTTGTAATCTTTATTGTGGTCATGTTCTTAAGCTGTGGTGAAATCTTATATTTTCTGTACATTGTGTAATCAGGAGTACATTCTGAGGATCAGGAGGTGGTTTATCTAGTGTTCCGTTCTTTCATTTCATTCCCTATTGGCAGCTGATTGTTTTCTTAGTCTAGTTTTGCAGACTTCTGTGAAATAATTCAGTAATTCTATATTTACCTTCTTATAATAACTAGTCAGTAATAATAGTTAACTTTAATCACTAGTTTCTTCATATTATTATTTTTCAGAAATAAAATCTTTTATACACATTTAAAGTACTGGAACTGATGAATATTCCAGTATAAAAAAAAAGAAGTAAAAAATGTTTGATAAATTATCTTAACCAGTACAGTGCATATTCCATAAGTCAAACCTGGCCTTTCACTTTATTTGGACTTATTGACCCCAGAGTGAAATTTAATTGTGGAAGCACTTTAAGAGATAGAAATCAAGAAACAGAAGTAAACTGGAAAACTCTTAAATGAAAAGGGGCTCATTTTATTGTGTTGTATTTTCAAGAGAAAAAAAAATCTTTCTCACATGCTGGCCACAGGATCCAGAATGAAATTGTTCTCATTTTTCCTCAGCCAAATCCTGATTCTGGAAAGATTTTCTCAGTCCATTTTAGGTCATAATGATGGTGGTTTGAGCCAGTAAAACTCTGCAAGTGCGTTGGGCATTCTCTTGTGTGTTTGCCTAAATGGAAATGGACAGTTCCTGTCAAGGACACACATACAATGAACTAGCCATTAGTTTCCTCTTAAGAAGAAGCCTCTTTGACCCCCCATAGCACCTGTTCAATTTCTCCAGGACAAGAAAGGGAACAGAATTATGTTCCTGTATGTATGTACTCTTGCACTATTGAAGACTCACACAAGCATCTTTATTTTTTTGTGATCACCCTGATAGCTGTTGCTTTAAATGAGAACAAAAAGTGAAAACCAGGACAAGTACAGAGTATACCTAATAAAATCGTTTTGCTTATGTTTTTACTCACCTCTCGGCAATCGAAGAGGATCGGGATTTTTGCGTGCTGAGCGACAGGCACGAATAGTTGTACAGGTCCTCAATTAGGCCATCGGGTTCGAAAGCTGTCATCATCTCTTGTTTTGGTCTTTCGTCCCACAGCCCTTCATGGGTGACAACTACTGTGATGCCGTCAATAACCGAGCGTTCTGCAACTATGATGGCGGTGACTGCTGCCACTCCACCGTGAAGACTAAAAAGGTAGACTAAAAATCTTTCTTTTCTACACGAAAATATGAATCTGCTTTCCCTTTCTCTGTCTTCCGTTGTCTATATTCCCATTCTCCCTGTTCTACAGTACATAACAAAATGTATGCAGCTTTCCTAATTTTATCCATTATTGAAAAACGAGTCGGAGTAGTGGCACGGAGCCCGAGAGCAGACATGAACAACAGGCAACATGAAAGGCAAGGGGATATGGAACAGCAATAAAATTGATATATACTGCTGTAACTCCTATTTTCTTTCTGAAAGTAAAATGTCCTCTTTAACCTGGAAACCCACAAAACAAGGGAGATATTATTCGGTTCTGTACAGAGTGTGCATCTGGTTCTGTGGATATCTTGGCCAAGGTCTTGCATCCTTTTATTGCAGGAAATTTATCGGTTTCATGAATTTGAGCTTCTTCCCGTTTTTTTAAGAATGATTGTAGTTGCATCATAACAAGATAGTACCTGCTTTGTCAGATGGTGATTTTCAATGGTAGAGAGAGAACCATCCCTTTCCTCTTGTTCCTCTTGTCCGCTCTACAAAGCCGTGAAGTATTGTCATTTTCCAAGCCCTGTTGGTACCCTGTTGGAAAAGGTATGCATTTCATAAGCAGAACGTTTAGCCTCAGGAGAGGGCCCCAGTGAAAAACTATACTGGCAGGTTTAAAATGGCAAAACACCTACGGTATTATTAGCTGAGACTCCCAAAGCGTTTGATGTAAATCTGATGCTCTGACTTTCTTTTCTGAGGATTTATGTCTTCTTTTTTGTGCTTCCAGATAATTTTGCTCAGGTATTCCACATTAAAAAAAACAACATACTAATTGCACATATGAAATACTGTTATGTAGGCTGTAGATGGGACGTGGGACGTGTAGTTGCCAGATCACTATTAAGGTGGAGAGTTTTTTTTTTTCAGACTGAATTTATAGACATTTTAAGTTAAAGGCCTTCTCATACCATTTTTTCTTGCATTATTTTTATTAATGAAATGATTGTTCTTTATCACTAAAGGCATTGTACTGCATGCTGGCTTTTGTGTGAGCTGTATGTTTGGAGCTGCTTTGTGGAATACTTACACCACACTCCATTTACTCATTGACTATTTTTGGAGAGCCTAGAGCCCCTTTCTGCATGTTTTTTTCTCCTTAATTAGGTCTCATGACATGAGCTCACGGAACCTAGTGTGTATTTATGATGATTTTAATAAAGCAAAACTAACCATTTCATCAAAAGCTCTGCAAAAAAAAAAAGTCCAGAGAGAACAATGGAAATAGTCTTAATTGCGCAGTGTTTTATTAGGTTTGCCATACTGCAGCTGCTGTATTGGCAGGACGCGATCAAGCTAAAAGCTGTAATATTTTATAAAAATTAGCAGTTTTATGACAGTGTCAAAGCTTGTTGCACAGCCCTTAGATCAAGGAGAGATTGCAAAAACATTTTAGAGCCGGTGTAACCATTAGCAGCTCCTGTTCCAGGACAGCTACAGAGAGGCTATCCTTGGAACTGTGGGTATCAGTGAAATTCTGCACTGGTCATACATTCTATAGTTATGTGGAACAAACAGAGAAAACGGCTAGAAACACTTAGTGATTCCTACTGCTTGGTTTTTATTTGCATTTTGGTTCTGTTTATTTTTTTTAAGTTGTTGGAAGTCTTTAAGTCTCCCCATTTTTGAAATTCTAACATGAGCCTGTTTGCTTTGGAAAATTGCAGCTTTATAGCCGGGATCACATTTTTATACATTTTTCCTTGTTTTTTTTTTTTTTAAGAGAGGGGGATATTGGAGTATCACTTCCCTTTATTTCATAACTAGGATCTACCAAAAATACTCATGCTGACCTCTGGTCACCCCTCACTCACAGCAGATCTGTTTTCAATGGCTTTGACTCCTTCTGTTTTTTTGGAATTCTGCTGCTAAGTAGATTTATTGTTCCTGTTTTCTGGTAAGCTTTTCTTAAAAGTCTTAAAAGAAACTCCTGAATGAGAAGTTGCGATGCCACGCACTGAGTCTTTGAATTGCATACTTCACACCAGCATCATGTAAAAGAAGATCGAAACTGTTTGAAAGCTGAAAATGGAATAATTAAATGTGTTGCCCTTTTATTGTTCATTCTTCCCTTGGAAGAGGTTTCTTCACCTGGTGAGAGATAAAAAAAAACAAACTTAAAGATCCTTGCAGATGGCCGTTTTACAGGTCCGACTTAATCATCGGCAAAGGGTGTTTTAATAAAATGAATTAATGTGAACTAATGGTGCAATTTGGAATGATTTATACCCAGAGAAATCAGTGCGGAACTCTCCCCTATCAATCTAAATGAAGCTCATCCTAGTTATCCCATTCCAAGCCATCCAGTCTGATTTACTGTACATACAGTATAAAACAGCAGGCATAAGAAGTCTAATACCAAATGGGATTGCTGCATGCTGCTTTGCTCTCCTGTCCATGACCTCCATTGTCATCAGCAGGGGAATGTTGTTATGCTGACATCACAGCTACTAGCTTCTGCTCCTGATCAGCAGCGAAGTGTGCAAGTATAGCTGACAAGTGCTTAAGCATCTGAGGAAGGAACAATTATAGTCCTGCTGTGCCCATGCTGTCCCCACAATCTCTGAATAAATAGCTTCTTCCTCCTCCAGGCAGCAAGCACAGATTCAAACCCAAACGCGAAAGAACATCCCTGAGCTAAGTTAAGCATGCCGGTGTAGCGGAGCTAGTTTGGATACGGTGACGTCATTGCCCTCACTGCGCGTACCAGGGACCTCAGCTGCCTGGGCTGAGGGAGGTCTCCTTTAGCTCACTCGGCTGGTTCCCTGTTGCGTGACGCCGGAGACCCGGGTTCGTGCCCCAGGTGTTGCGGGACGGAACGGGGTGGCGGAGGGCACGAGCCCGCACGGAACTGCGATGGTCACACCAGATCTACCAGTAGAATATTGAAGCAACATGACTTGTCAGAGCAGGAGGTCAGCACGTTGCAAACAAGAGGTCCTGGGTGCCTGAGCTCATGTGTTTGCAAAGGCATTTGCATTCTCTGTCTGACGAGTGGATACTGTAGATTCTCTGTAGGACCCTTTATTTAACCAGATAAGTCAATGGAGATTTTCTGATTTCAATTTCTTATTTACAACCCGTCAACGGTCTATCAGAATTGATGCACAGAAAACAATGCAGTGGAAATAAACAACAGTTAGTGAAATGTAAGTGACATAACAGTTAATGGTATAACAGGATGATGATAGCAAGTGTGCATGTCAGACAGAAAGGGTCTCATATATATATTTATTATTAGTATATAGAGAAGTGGAAGTGCCTTCACATGCAAAGGTGGGTGGTTTCAGTTTCCTCTGCAGACTGTTTCTGTCACTGGCAGTCGTAACTCGAAATGCTATTTGTTCAAAGATGGTGGATGTTTCTGGGAGTTTCAAAACAATTCCATCTATCCATTTTTCTGACCACTTTAAGCAATACAGGGTCCCGGGGGAGCCAGAGCCTATCCAGGAAAGCAACGAGTCAGAATACATCATGGACAAGGGCGCTAGTCCATCTCAGTGCACACACAGACACACACTCACACCAGGGCCAGTTGTTCCAGAAGCCAGTTAATCTACAGAATGCAGATCAATTAATAATACCACAAATTGTATCAACCTTCTCTGTACTAAATATGTGCTTTCTACAGTGTATAACACCCCACCCCCCCCAAGGTATATCCCTTATACACGAATGGGACACCCGAGGACTTTACAGACTTTCCTCCTAGACTCACAATGTAAGAACCAGCTGTAAGTAATTCCATTTCTTCCACAATGCTTTACTGTGGTATGATCACTTATTGGCGGCATGATGAGGCTCTTATGTATAACGGTACAAGCTGACAGGTGCTCAGCATGGAAGAAGACATGATGTTGAGTGAGAAGTATGATTCCATCCCATCAAACTCCAGCTAGGATGAATGCATTATGCATCATCTCTTAGGTAATCTTATCAAAAGCCCATTGACCGATGATATGCCTCAGACTTCAGCCTTTAACATCTGGACTAGCTCTGGTCTGCATTCCAAACAAATGCCTTAACTGGTTGAATCTCTGAGGAGCACCTGAACTAGACCTTGATTTGATATGATTTTATTCAAATTTGACAAATCATAGTAAATGCTGAAGAGTTCTAAATATATTCTGATGGGAAAGATAAACATAATTTATAATGAGGAATGTGTCTAGATTGCCATTTATTATATAAAAGAAAGGATGTACATCTCTCAGGAAGAATGTCTCTTTCCTGCACACATGATGATATGCCCAAATGTGACAGCTTGATTGGATGTTTGTATCCTGTTATCCTGATGCACCTGTCATGGAATTGCAACCCTGACACCTGGAACCTCCTTACGTGTTCCTCCTGTCACTACAACTGAGCTTCTGCACAGAATGCTTGTCAGACTAGCTCCTTCGACCGCTTTTATCTCCTGCATTGTCTGAAGAGACCTCTGACAAAGAGACAAAATACAATCGTACAAACAAAAGAGCTTTTCAACCAAGGTGAGTGAATTACAAGCAACAGGGAGACAGCACTGAAAGCCAGTCCCCTTTTCAGCACTCTTTACAGTCAGCACATTTCTGACTTACTGTAGATTCATTATAGAAAAAGGGAACATTTTTGCTTACGCCAGTAGAAGAATGAGTGATTCACCATAATGCCAACGCATTCAAATAAGTTAATGTTGGACAGAGACCCAAACGCACTGTAGTGACATGTACGTTAGACTTGTATCACACTCTCCAGTACTGCTAAGGATATCAAAGTGCTTACCAATAATTCCTAAGCTGAATTACAGTGTGTAGCCACTGGCATATACTGTGGCTTCCCTTCAGTGTAAACCTATCCTCGCTGTTGGGTGGTATGAGCACTGAAAGATGCCATATACAGATAGAGCAAAAGAGACAACATTTCTGTTGTGGAACAAAGGATGTGCCTGAGAGCCCTGACCGAAA